GAAGTAGTTTTCCATGTAACTGACACCGCGTTAATAGAACGCGTTTGCGGCCTGTCTAGCTACCAGAGAAAGGAGACCTAGGACGTGAGAAATAGAACAGTAAACCTGTTACAGATGAAGATTTAGAATAGATAATTAGCTGATTAAATCTTTCATTATCGGTCTACCCGAGTGTTCCGTGGAAGATATACTGTACAAATGAATTAGTACATCCTCTTCGAGTGTTGGATGATTAGATTCGCTTCTAGCTTTGCTACCAATTGCTTTTTATTAATTGGACAAAATTTTTGCTGCTTGGTGTAGATTCATTTTTGTCGATGCTAATATCGATGCCTTGGTAATCAGTTTATTTAAATCATATTGTGATTAATGTAATTTTAAAATGTAAAATGTAAAAAGGAATAATTGGTGGATCGGAGGACTGAAGCTAGCCGTCAGCTAAGGCTTTTTTGAATGAAATCACATTATCTGTAGGATAATGTAATAGATGCCTGCATTTGAAATTCAAGTGTTACATTTATTTAAATGTGAAGGTCATTAAATAGATATAGATCGTAGTTGCGTCAAATTTATAGTATTTAAAGTTACTGTAACACGTTGCAGTTGGATTCTTATGCAAGATATCATGTAATTTGTGGTTTTATTAAAATTGTTTTCATTTTACATGAGAAATCTAGATGGAAAAGTTGCCAACTACGGTGCACTCGATAAATTTTCAATTTCCATTTTCTCCAAATTGCGAAGATAAATGAAGAAAATTGTATTGTATCTGTTTAAATTAATTTTTTAAAGAATAATTTAGAATAAGCTGTGTTTTTCCTAAGGTTAGATACCAATTTTATTGTGATCGTTACTATGACTGCTAACAAGATTCATTTCTTGAATTACATTTTCCACGGAGACAATTGATATTCTCGTTTCTCGAATTACACGTTTGGGAAATTACGTAGCACAAGACTGTGGATCGCCGGGTCGCAACAATTATTTCATGACAGGTGTAAACACTGGCATTACGTTTTCCCAGCTCGCAATTACCGCTAACTCAACAATATTTACTGCAAGATTTAGTGAAATCACTATTTTTGTCGAGCACCGAACCGTAATGTATACTTAGTAATTCCTGCCCACATGCGTATTGCGAAAATGGCCATCCGCTTAGTAATTCCCTTTTCGTTTCGATAACAATCCTGGAAAACTAATCGGATAATGATTTTTTACTTTAGGAGAAGTATTTCAACAGATTTACTTTTACTGTTATTCGTTGTAGTATAGCTTGAATAACATCGTGTAGTATCGTGTTCACATTTTCCTCCATGAATATGTATATTTATACATATATAGGTACATTACTTATAAAACGTTTATGCTCGGTCAGTTGCATACGTAGTTTCAAATGTAAATACTTAGTATACAATGATATATTGACAAATGCTTATGTGGTATCAGCGTAATATGTTTGTTAATATTTTTATATAACTTTAGAGAATCTATGCTTATCTTCTTTTTGAGGGATTTTATGTGAGTAATTTATTTAATTTTAATACAGCTAAATGTTATCACAAGTGGGTCAAAAAGGTTAAGCTCGTAGATCGCATGAAACAATACAGAATTATATTGATGTCTATTTGAATGTTAATAGATGCATCTACATCATACTTTTATATTCCTACTATTCTACTGTGACACTCTACTATGTTGACAATAGTAGGTAGATGCTCATTTCTATGAAAGGACATAAATTGGAATTCTTCTTAGGTGACATTTGAATGGAATGAAAAATTAATATGCACGTCTACATTTCAATACAATAGGCATTCGCTGGAAATGTTTTAGATTAACAAAACATTAATATGTATTAGCAAGCGTACTTATTCTACGGATGTACAGGGTGTTACATTTGATTTTGATACCTCAATCGCATCATTATTAATTAATACTCGTAACGACAAATTGTTCAGAGTTGAACAGTTTCTGGGAAATGTATTATGGTTTTATTGTATTCTTTAAAGATGTACGAGAAAAGTTCATCTAAAGATCAACTTATTTACAATGAAACAATAGTTGTTACTTTGACCATGTTTCTTCTGTTTCTACCATGAAGTTCCATTGAATCATACTATTAAATCATATAATGAACAATTCGAAACATTCTATTTGTAGCAAGTTGTATAAACAAAACGTGTACGCCTCTAAAAGGTATAACGTTCGATTCACAAGCTGATATGAATTTTTCTTGTATCCAAGGCAAAGAAAATTCTTCGCATTCGTTCTCCTAATTTAGCAGCCCCTGTGCATGTTCAGATTATAGAAGACTGCGTGCAATCTGCTATATACCGGGTACAGATGCTTCTTTATAAAAAAAATAACTTATCGAAAGCGATAGCTATGAATGCAAAACTCGCGTCGTCTCTTCTGAAAATGGTATAGGCAACCATCGACCTGCTGAACATTCAGACAGAGCGATAATGTGGACGTGGGAGAACTGGCGCTGAAGAATGCGTAATTGTTTTGAAAGAGATCGAGCTTTGTCGTCTTTCGTGTAGGACGTGTGAAAGGCGACGTAGCCTACCGACGCGCGCCGCGTTAAATATCGAGGACAACTTCGATTTTTTTCATAGATTAACCGATCGCCATTATGGTCCCTTCTTCTTTCACCGCGTTACTATTCGATTTCTATTAATTATTCCTTAGATATTCTTCTTAGATATTGTTGAGTAATTAACATACTCTGTACTAAGTGAATTATTAATGATCTTGTCGTCCCATTTCATCAGTTAAAATAGACACATATGTTTTTATTGTTGTAGAAACGGAAAACTCATCGAATTATGTAGCTTTTATGAGTTTATGTCGAACCATGAATTCTGTTGTTTGTCATTTTTGAGATACACAGTAAATATTAGTGACAGAGGATTGAAATGAAAAAGGATCGAAAGTGTTAAATATTGTTCATTCGGAATTATTAAAGTTTCTTTTAAAACTAATCATTAATTAACACAATATAATATACTAACGCTTGTTACTAATTTCAATTTATCAAGTTCTACACTGCACCAATTTTATTCGCCTTATTACATACATTACATAATTAGCTAGTAACCCAATCGTATTCCCTCTCGAAATGAAAAAATCAAACTAAAGAGAACGCTTAACACGAACCATTAACAAATCTCAAACGAGCTTTCAACGAAACCATTTCGCACCGAGAAACCAAAATACTTAGATAAAACCGTCGCATGTCATTCATTAAAGAATACCCAAGAATACCAACACCATTCCACTAAATCACACCACAATTCGAATTAAAAATCCACCGCATCAACGAATTTCGAAATTTAATGAGTCCCGCATGAAACAGCGGGATCCCAGAAGACGAAGGCTCTTTTTCATCCACTTAGAGCATCACGGGGAAAGGATCCATCGATAAGGGAAGGTAGACATGCAGTCTGCTTGGCGACGAGGCAATTCGAATTTTCGAAACAAGATGTATCTGATCGCAAGAGGCAGTCGAGTGGAGACACCAACAATAGGGATTATTAGCATTGGCTGAGCCGACTTCACGTTGATATTGGTCTCTGGAGGGCCGACATATTGTAATCACGCGGATATATTGTGCTCGTGCAATGCACGTTCGCCTAGTCCTCTCCACCCACCCTATCCTCCGCATCCACCTACTCCATCCCCTCCGTCCTCATCGTTGTCTCCTCCTCCCGTCTCGTTCGCCCTCTGCCTGTTCCTCCGGTAGCCGATCAATGCCCTCTTCTCCTACCGATAACTCGATAATATTACACGCGAAAACCGCTTTCGATGTGCTCGCCCAGTCAGCGAGCCACTTGTGCGAGCAAATAACCAGTTATCGGAAAACCGATTTTATTTTCGAGGGACGCTGCCTTCGATATATTTTCCTTTTTTCATCTTCCTCCGCCTCGTCGCTACCTTTCGACCCTTTGTCTCTACCCATCAGCGTGTCCCTTTCCTCCCTCCTTCCTTTGTTACGTGTACCTCGTTGGTTCCAGCGGCAGTGTATGTATCGGTACACTGTCTAGAATAAAACTGTTTTTCGCGTTCAGCGGGTTGCGAAAATCTTTTCTCATATTTTCAATGACTATGTTGATTGTTCTGGAATGGACTGCTCGCTTGATGGAAAAGTGTCCGATACATTGAATGGAAAATGTTGGAGAATGTTATTGGGAGATGTTGACGTTAATTGAAATATTGTTTTGTTATTGTCCTCTAGCATATGGATTTTATATTGGTAAGAAACTGGATGTAAATATTTACTTTAGTTTATTTTACTGGTTCAATATACTGGGCAAGGGTATTGCAATTATGTAAATTACAGCGTGTATCGTAACCATTTTTGATACATCACGTGACAATAACTTATTGGAAAGTTTCATAAATTCTTTTAGAAAGGATAAATATCTAGAAAATATCATAAGGATATTTATCCCAATACAAACAGTTAAAGAAATCAATTGAAAACTCAATTACACGTGTTACCAATAACCGTTTAGTACACTAACACTTTCGCAGCTAGTCATTTATTCGTTCCAAGATACAATTCATACGAAAACAAAGAAACTGTACGAAATAAATAATAAAAATCCACTGACCGCGACATTTATCATTTCATTCCCATGAAAGTCAAAGAGAAACACGGTTCAACCATTAGATCTTCATGTCGCTGCCAGCTTACGGCGAAAGCTCACCCTTCGTTCCACAAATTCTGACCCCATTTACGAAGGACGTAGCGCCATTTCAGAATCATTCCGCGTTAGATTTGTTTCTGCCCGTAACAGCCACTTATCCATTTCTTTCCGTTCCCGCGCGACAGACTTGAACCGTGAAACATGATCACTACCAGGAAGGTCAGGGACCGTCGGCCCTTTGCTCGACGGTGATAAGTTCAAGCTATCAGCGGCCATTGTATTTAAACGGCACAGTTAACCGGGAATCACGGCTCCGTATCGTTGCAATCGGTCGCTTTTTCGTTCCAGGTTCTCAAAGAGGCGACCGCAGCGCGAGAAGATCAAATCAACGAATTAGAAGAGCTCTTCAACTATTTGGACGACCACCGGAGCCTGAAGGGTTACAACGGCGAAAAGACGGCGCGGTGAGTTTGCACGATTTTCTACGTTTTATTAGACGCCCGAGAACCGCGGTGATTTACATCGGCCGCTCGTAAATCAAACGGCCGGTAACGGGATTAAAATGAGTTTCGTCTGACAGAGAAAATTGAAATCCGTAATTGGATTGTGCCGCGCTGGACGAGTTTTATTGGCGGCCGATGTTTGCTCGGTGTCAATCGACGAAAACGGGGGCGAACCGTTTGCCCGTCAAATCGCGCGGGAATCGAACCTGCGTCTACTATTTCATTTCATTCTCGCTTCTTTTCTTTTAGAGAGCATGCGTAACGTCTTGCGTTATAATCAGGGATTGAGAACAGTTATGATATTGTTTTTGGTTTTTGAGATAGTTATGGAGAACCGAAATAAGTCATGACTGTTACTTGGTATACCGGTTTTGAGCTATATCTGTTTCCAAAATGGTTCTATGACTGTTACTTTCCGGTTCTCCGTAACTGTTTGAAGAATTGAAAAATAATAGTTATAGGACTGTCTACAAGAATAAGAACCAAAACCGATGTACTGAATAACAGCTACGACTTATTTCGGTTCTTCATAACTGTTTCAGCCGGAACCGACACGTAACAGTTTCAAATAGTTATTTTCCGAACCTTTTCAATACCTGTTTGTGACTGTTCGATTATATCTATTGTTGATGTTTCCGTAAACGGACAATTTCAGGTTCTCAGTTATTGTATAGCAGGTAGAATTTTGTTTCTGCAAGAAGTTTTATCATTTGATTGATCAAATTCAATTTTTAGGAAACTGATTACTCACATTTATCAATTTTCTATACATTTGTTGAAGTTCTAATTTAACTTTCTCTACGTAATTGTAATTTTTGTGGGTGAACTTAAAATGGTTTAAAAATAATTTCGATACTTTATTATTATCATTCATATTATACGTACATGTAATATCTTTTGTACCCCAAGAACCGAGGAAAATATTTGAGCGGCTTACTTGAATGGAACACCCTATATATTCTATAGGGGATAAATTTTCAATTTATTACTTAATGTCAACAATATTTATTAACATTAAATATTCTTCAATGAGTTTTAATACAACTTTGGTAGTTCATACATTAAATTCGCGACTAATGTCACGAGTACCATAAGACACAAATATATATATATATATATATACACTGTCAGTCAAAAGTTTGAAAACGCTTGATATGTAACGTCACAAATTAAAAATGACATATCTTCTACACATATGAACTAAAATAACAAAAATGGTCTATCTTTCCATTTGACTACTACATATGTTCATGTACTTTATCATACAATAAATTCTCCAATAAAAGTTGTTCACAAAAAATGAATATTTTCTTTTTAACCGATGTATTGGTCCCAACCTTTTGACCGACAGTGTATGTGTTAAGAATCAAGAGGCAAAGATTAATGTCCTCACGAAAATGGAAGGGTTCAAATTAGCATTTTCCTTGCTTCCGTTCGTTCATTGAATTTCTAAGTATTCCTATTTCGACAAGTATTTTCTAAACCGCCATTGAAACGATCTGCCCCGCACTAGCCTGAGATCCAGTATCAAGAGGGGGAAAAGAAGCGAGGCTGATGCGGAAGCATCGGCAAGCCAAAGATCCTCCGGCACAAAGGGCAGACGGCAAAGAAATTGCATTGCATGCTAAATCTCGGACGACGTTGCAACCGCCTAATCAATCTTCAATCGGCTCGATTGATTCTCTCCTCTGCCGGCGACTACTCGGTTTCATCGCCTCTTTCCCTGCAACCTTACCAGTTTCCCATCTTCACGATCTCTAAGAGCTACGTCTTGTACACAGTTTGTCCGAAAGGTTCCCAGAATGAGATTTCTACGGGTTGTGGTGTTCTTTGTCGAGAGATATAAATTTTATTCAACTTTACTGAACTTTTTATCAACTATTTCTTAAACGAAGGTTTCGAAATTTAAAGAAGGTACGGGCAATTGTACATGGTATGGAACTGTGTGATAGTTGAAGGAAATAATGGAATGTTCTTCATTTAGAAATATTATTATACAAGAATATTATTATTAACATTAAAAAATATTACAATGAATTCTAAATGAAGTTAGGTATATAATTCGTGAAATATACGTTTGCGCAATGGAAAAGTTTGTATTATAGTACATGAAATAATGGTTCAAGGATTCAGACAATTTTTTCCTTTTAGCACAACTATATTGTTATACAGTTGAAAAGTTGAGAACTATATAATACGTTATTAATCGTGTGATTATAAATATAAAAAGATGATATCTATATCTTATTAAAACTACGATTAGCTAACTTCATAAAACGAAAAGTGGAGAAAAGTAATTCAATAGCTATACAATGATTTCCAAAATTTCCCTTTAAATAGAAAATTAAATAATCATTATAGAACGTACTTTACTTCGTTATTACAGATGTAGCTAACTCCAAAATAATTTTTATTGTTATTGCAAGTTTTGCATAGACAATAGAATTTTTGTTACTTCGTGGTATCACACCCAGTAACAAGGAAATTTATTTTTAATATGAAAAGTCAAGAACCAATGAATCGTTTTAACGATCAAATCTTTTCATATTAAAAATAAATTTCCTTGTTACTGGGTACGATAGCACGAAATAACAAAAATTCTATTGTCTATGCAAAACTTGCAGTAACAATAAAAATTTAAGTCACGAACCAATGAAGCGTTTTAACGATAAAATCTTGAAAAATTCAAAAAGCGGAGTTAATCGATTTAGCAAGTGAGCCATTCAATTGTTTTTGATCGTTGACTACGACTGATTGTGATCAGACCGTGCTATTCACCTCTAGTGTGAATCAAGCCTTACTATAGATCTCGTGCGTCTCCGAGGCGAGGACGATCTCCCGTCATTGTTTTCGTCTCTCGTTGCAGACTTCGTCGTAACCGTCGACCCCGCCGCCCGTTACTCTCAAACGCGCGCATAAATCCCTTTATGAGCGTTGTGTCACGAATTCACGGCTTGTCGCCGATTTTATTGCCCGGCAGATTGTTCGGTATTCTCGTGGCTTTTACGCCGGCAAACACGAGTATCGGAACTTCCGGCATTCCCGTCCGTCCAGCCGGTGAAAAAAGCGCAAGGTGCAGACGGTTCTACGTGAGTAATGTCGCGTTCTGTCGAGATCCTTCTAAATATTGAAACGTACAGCGACGTATCGAGTAATCGCTAATTTTTATTTTCATTCTTCATCCGTTCAGATGAAGACAACGTAGCTTTATCAATCTTGGAGACACATTCCTTAGGTAAACTTCGATAAGGCCGTTGTAAATAATTAAACTGACAGATTTATTAATTCTGATCATTAACACTAGATTTATGGACATTTATTCTACATTTTATTCTATCGCTCCTAGAAGACTACATGTTTGTTCATACAAGTCACGGAAATTAGAGTTTCAAGAGCAGATTATTATAATATGTATTTGCATAATTGCAACAATCGAAATTGATTTGAATTGTTACGAAATAATGCTTAAGAAATTCAATATCCGTAAAACTGACGGGTTCCATAAATTAAGTGTTAAGTTCATAATTTTTTAATTTACGAATTTTCAGGATTAATTTTATAATTTTTTAATTTATACATTTTTATGATTATTTTTATCATTTTCGAATGTACTAATTTTTAATATTAGCTTTTCGATTTTTGAATGCATCACTCTTTAATATTAATTTTTTAATTTATTACTTCTTAATATTGATGTTATAATTCTTCAATCCATTAACTGTCATTATTAATTTTATAATTTCTCATTACTCGTTTCATAAATCTTAATACAATATAAGTCAGTTACGTAGCTAGACAATATTACCGCAATTCAGACAACGAAAGCAGTCATTCAGTCTGTTTCTACTCTAGCTCGCAGCGTACACACGAAAGATTTACAGACTCGCGTGATTCGAAGCACTATCTCCGTATGTTGATAATTGTCGCGAATTAGTTCCGTAAATCAGTCGATTGCCTTTGCCACTGTGTCTGCATTTCTCATTCTTTTCCCGTTCTCCTAGTTACCTCACCGTTTACCTTTTTTCCACCCTCGCAGTCCTTCGATCGTGAGAATGGCGTGATCGTTTCGCGTAAATAACAATTAAACGAAACCCGTGACGCATTAAGACGAACTTTCGCCGCCCCCAGTCGCAAGCCCAATGGTACTCGTGTATTATCATAGCAAGCATAAATCCCAATTACCCGCCTACGGCACGCATAATGATTGATAATTAACGGTAAACGTCAGCACCTCCATTTTGTCTCATTTCACTTTCGCCCGAGGCGATTTCCGGCGTTCTCGCTTTTTTCGTCGCTTTCGCAGGAGATTCATGGGGAATTATGTTCACGAAGGTGTATACGCATAATGGGAAAATTGAAACAAAGAGAAATTAATAGCGACTCGTGTTTCTGATATACGCATTTATTATAACATATTATAGCACTTTCGAGCCAACTCCACTAATCGAAAGTGGTCAATTACTTGTTAGACAGCTGATTATTCCCAGGAAAATATAATTTACGATACAATTATATAAAGCAATTTACTATGTTCGTTTGTATTTACAATAACACGATAATATCTATCAATTAAACTAACGTGATCAATTCAAAGCGATTTGTACTTCGAGTTCACAACTGACATATTCGTTCACCATATGGTAACGATAATATACTTAACACTAGAACTACCGTACCAAAATGACTGATTTCGGTTTACTATTTCACAATTATGGATATTGAAAGCACCGAATATTCGCAATGCTCTTGAAAATAAATAGTTCCACTTAAATACTACAACGAATGAAGAAAACGGAAAACAATTTATTGTTACAATTTTTATAGAGATTACACATCAATCGTATTAAATGCTGAGCAGTTCTAACGTTAACAATGAGATAAATAATTAAACAGATCGTGGCTCTCAATTTTCTAGTATTACCTCAAACAATACACGTCTCGTTTCGATAAAATTCAATTCA